ATATGGGGCGAATAATGAGATGGATGAGCGAGTCCATTAATATGACTACTGTTTTTAGCAGGTTGCGTTCGTCGATTAGACGAATCATCAAAGTGAGCTGGAGGAGGAGGAGGAAGGGATGTTGGATATTGATGTTGTCGATTGGATGATTTACTTGATTTTGCTACGTGTTGTGGCGATCGGTAAAAATTTGCTGATGGTGGCTGATACAATACACGTGATCTATACAGATTTGAACTTCTCGTGTCTGGCACACCTGCCGAGGATAGATTTAGCATCGATTGATGGAATTGTGGTATATTGTGTCGATGTTGGTATAGAAGTTCGCTATTTGATAGATGATTACTGGAGTTCGTTAGTCCAACATTTACGTTCGATTTTTTATTTCCTTCAGTGCGTTTGGCATGATTAGCGGGCGTTGGATGAACTTTAGCCGACGAGCCATTTTTATTTGGTCGAAGTGGCTTAAATGCACTATGATCCGTCTGATGCCGAATATTCGTTTCTGTTAATCGAGTAACAGGTGCCGATTTTGGCTTCGAAGGTATGATTACGGCTGGTTTAATAATTTTATGTGCATGTTTAGGCTGATTGGACGGATTGAGCTTGAGAAAAAACGGATCTGATTTTGTTTTTGATCGAGATGGTTGATGATGTTGTTCGACTTCAAGTTCTTCCCTCAACACCAAATCAGTTGCTGTTGGTGGAATGAAACGATAACGCGGTCTTGATGCTGAAACTTTATCGATTGATGTTAAATCAATCAAACTAGCGCTTGTTGCATTAGTTTTATCAGTCAACGCAGAGAGACGAGTATGCCGAGAGAAATTTTTCCAGCTTGGAATAGTCGATAGGTCATCTGTAGATACTGCAGTTATGCGAATAGGTTCCGGTAGCAATGTTTTTTGTGGAAGTTTTTTTGGTTTTAAGGGCGGACTTAATTGATTGAGATTATTTTCCGATGTATAGCGACGAACGTGAGGTGCAGGAATAGCTAACGCATATTGTTCCTGACGAGGATGATTATTTCGAACATGAAAGTACGTTGGTCGTTGAGGAGAGGATGAAGGAGCTGAGATCGGATGTGCTTTGTTGGCAGGTTTACCCTAAACGAAAAAAGTCATTAAATAGAGGTTGATAAAGCGTATCGATTATATGATTGTCAATTGTCTTTTTTTTCAAAAACTATCAACCTACATTCGAATTCAATTTGAATTGTTGAGCAGCCGAGTTAGTCAGAGGTACTAGCTGTTGATTGAGTTTTTTCTCAGTTGCTTCTTCATCTTTCAGATATGGATCAAGGATTGAGTCAAAAAAGTTCAAAGTTTTTTCAATTTGTTCATCATCGATATTTTCCTGTTTGGAATGTTTAATTTGTTTATTCATTTTCACCAGATATTCTAAAAATCAGCAGAAAAATAAACCAGTTCAATGAAGAAAGTTGTCATTGCTATTTCCTATGACTTATACCTGTTTATCTAATTAAGCGTTTGTAATGATTGAATTAAGACGAGCAAAGGTGTATTGGTGACATTTCACATTGTTAATGAACAACTGTCTATGAATGGGAGATTGAATATCAAATGACGATGACCTTCGTCATCAAAGCGAATGAGAGTTTTTTTTATCACGACCTTTATCTCTTTCAATTTAATGTTTAACAAGTTTATTCATTTTCATCGTCTAACAAAGAGATTAATTTTTCGTTTTTCTCTGTCAAAAACATTTCACTCTCGCATGTTAATATATGGCATTAATCAATCTGACGAATATTACATAGTGAAAAACATCACATCAAGAAAATCTTCGCATGATCGAATTTCGAATATTTTACTTTCGAACAGAATAGAACAGGAGAAAAACGAAACTCATGTGTAGCTTACTTTGTGATTATCGATTGAGCACGACTAGACGATGATGATGATGATAATGATAACTCTTTTTATCAATCATTGATAATTATAGAGGGATTAAATCTAAAACAAAAAAAAAGTATGAAATCGACTATATGAATAGGTCGAAACGAATAATGGAAGGTCAGCTGAGATGGATGCATATATTTCAAAATGTATTTGCGTGAAAAAACACAGTCGTTCCTTTCTAGTTGTGTATGGATATTTATGCGATACAATTTCAGCTTTACGGTCTTTTGCATCGTTGCATGTATATACTCCTACTTCTTTTTTTTTATCCCACAATCGAAAAACGAACAAGAAAAAGAAAACGACGGCAATCCAGTACTCTCAACTATTTGTTACATATGCACATATACATAGACGAAAAAATTTTTTTTGTATATAGATGAAGATCAATTTCATCATTGTGTCGATGGATGATAGTCAAACACCTGTTTTATTCACTTGCCGATAAGAAGACGAAAGAGAAAAAAGAGTAAGAAACATCTAAATACAATGACATTTACGATATAATTACATATACAAGGCTGATGTTTTGTCTATAAAGATCTTAATGAAAGTGCGGTTGAGACAACGAATTCATCAGTGTCTACGTTCCTTTTCTTTTGATTATATCATATGTAACAACATCGTTCAATGAACACGATATATATTGATGCATTTATAAGAGTCTTCATTGAACAATTGAGAGAGGAAGAGATGTAATGCGTAAAAAATAGACTTGCAAGCAATAGGGAATATCCAATAATGCTTTGACAGATCTTGTCTCGAGATGAGATTTGTTATTTGTTTATTGGAAAGATGGAATTTGAGAGGCGAGGTAAGTAATTGCCTGAGTTTTCTTTCACGTCACCGGATATATATCGAGCACTGAGGCGCCGTCGCCCTGCTTATCGATGAAATCCAATCTTTCGTCAACAGATTTGTCTAACAGACGCAAAATTCTTCGTTTGACTTTACTAATAAGTTTGTGGGAAAAAGAGGCAACACTTTATCAATTCTGTGACAATATTCACTAATTATATTTTCATTGTTCTTTGAATAATTTCAAACGAAAGTAAATCCTTGCTGTGCTCATTCGTTGTCTGTCTGTATCAATATCTCTTTTTGTTAGTGAAATTAATCGATGTCCTTCTTGATCAAATTATTTCGCATAATAAAAATCAAAATAGGCTTCCAACACACATTCACGCAATGCCTTTCAACTATCTTTAAATGTTTTGGTATTTTTCCGATGTCATGCATAGTTTAATGTAAACATTCAGAGAGAATGGACATATTTGAAATACAGAACGTACCGAGAATCATACCGCTTTCGACATGCGAATGAATACACATACAGACAAATCCGTGTGACATGCAGGCGGTCTGTGCATTACTATTATTATTACAAACGGACCTACTAAAGCGAGCCCTGAAGCGCAATAAAAAAACGATGTAATAGAATATCCTTGACCAATCATCATGGTCGAATAGAATAAGAATCATACAATTGCGTGTAAAGAGAATGAGAGAAATATCGATCGGGCGTTTATGCTCATACAAAAAAAAGAGAACATAACGAAGCGTACCTATTGCTAATCGTGATTATTATTTTTCTCTACTCATATGCATATATATATATATATACGCATCTCTGCGTTCATTCGGCCTTTCTCTTTCTATCTCTTTCATTGTCACACAATTGAAAGGCAAGTGAATCTTTTTATATAATACTTGAAGATCAATCATATTCAAGCATATTATACATGGCTGACACATTCGATTATGGCTATTTAGCTACGCCAACTGGTCAGTTAAATATTGCGGAAATTGTATGTAAAATTGTCTTCTCTTCGGCTTGCATTTGAATCTTTTATAGATTTGTCTAATCGGAGCGCTGATTAGCGTCGGGTTTACCTCACGTTTATACTGTGAATTAGTCGATAATCTACAATGGATTTATCCTGATTTTAGTACATTGATTGTTCGAGGTGTTTATCAAACATTTACTATATTTTGTTTGGCCGTAACGATTGTTATACTTCTTGTACATATATACGGTGTACGTTTCACCGGTAGACACTATACCTACGTCAATCAATTAGTGAGAATTTCGATTTGATACGGCAAAGCAAATGAATAGGGTTCTTTTTTTTTCTAGTGTTTAGGTTTGAATATTTTCATGGGACTGATGATGATTTCGATTGGCATATGCGCAGCATTTTGGGAAGATAAACTTCGACGTACACCTGGTATTCTACGACGAGGATACTTAGACAATCAATATCAATACATTTACAATGAATGGACACACCCGCGACCGGGTGCAGCGATTGCTGCTTCGGTAAATGACGATATTCTTAAAACTTTCGTGCGAAGAAAACCGAGTTTTCGTTCTTTTAGATCTTTGCGATTCTCACTGGCGTTCTTTTCATTCTTGAGGCATGTTCTCGACCGATGTTAAACACAGGAGCTAAACGAATTCCAACAAGTTATACAATTCCTGTTACTTCTGAACGTGTTGTGATAAAGAATAACAAAGGTGAACGTATAATACCGATTGAAAGAATAATATGACATACTCGAGTTTCAATAGATTCATATGTAATTTTTTCCTATGCTTTTATTATATTTTAAAATCAATACAGAAAAAAAACGTGAAATTCCACAATCGACAAAGTCCAGAACAATGATTTATTAAGCTTTTTCTCTTTGTTCTCCTTTAAAGGGTTACATAATTGCGCTGAGTGATTTATTGTTTGTATTCAGAACAATGACTGAGCTCACCGGGGAGAGATAACACAGATGCATAGAAATGAAAATAGTCACATTTATTAATCGTAATGAAAATCGGCCGTTTGACAATTATATGACTGAATGATGAGTGAAGTTTTATTGATGATGTACGCTCTCATAGGAGATTAGAGTGAAATAACGTGTATATGACTTGTTGCGTTGTTTGGAAGATTTTTTTTCGATAAAGTAAAAGTATGTTCATCATCGAATTGATATTACGAATACTACTGCATATGACAGGTCGTTCACTCTTTCTCTCTTTACTGTTGGATGACGAATAATATGAGATGTTTTGATTCGAAGGCAATGTTAACAGTTCGTATGCGAATGAAATCTTCCTTCGAAGAGGCCGGTGTCGGTGAGTTATGTCGCGACTATGGTTCGAATTTATTTTACATCGAACATAAAAGATATAGATATTATCGACCAAAAATGTCAATAGATCAATATACATTAGTATGGATCGATTTGGAGATGGACGGATTGGATTTGAACAAAAATTTCATTCTCGAAATTGCTTGTATTGTTACAGATTTTAATTTAACAACGATTTATGAAGGTACACCTACTTTTATTTCGAAACTTTCTAAAATTTGACTACCCTCAGTTTTCTCAAGGTCCTGATCTGGTGATTCATCATCCGAAAGCACTCATGGATGCCATGGGTCCTTGGTGTATGGAACATCATACAAGGTCAGGATTGGTTGAACAAGTCTTGAACAGTAAATTATCTATGAGCGATGCTGAAACAAAGATAATCAATTTTATTGAGAAAATAACTTCATCGTCAACGGCAAACAACAAACGATTGATTCTTGCTGGTAATTCTGTTTATGTTGATCGATATTTCTTAGAGAAAGACATGCCACGTTTAAATGCAATGCTTGATCGATCCATTCTTGATTGCAGTACATTAAAAGAACTAATTCGCCGGTTCAATTATCGGATTTATTCTCAAGCACCAGTCAAGGGTGGAAATCTTCATCGTGCGCTCGATGACATAAGAAATAGTATTGATGAATTTCGATATTATCAAACATTCGCATTCGAAGAAAAACAATCCACAGAAGACAAACGTATCTCATCATCAAAACCAGACATTTCCCAATATCTAGTATGGATTGATATTACTGATAGTTCGGTGCACGGTATTCTAACTGATGAAAATCTGGATATCATTGACGAAATAACCGGTGCAAAGACAAGTGATGATTTAATGAAGTTTTTCCATAAAAATCGAATTTACTCGGAACGAAAGGTTGCTGTTGCTGGAAAGCATTTAGGTCCAATCCGTGCACAATTGAAGATTCTCGCTTCGGAATTCAATGAGTTTTGTCATTATCGTTCGATTGACATTGATGTCGTGGCTGTTATCTGTGAACAATGCTTTGCTGATGTTTATAAGCAACGACCTACTCATGACGAAAAAGAAAACGAACTCAAGAATTCCATCGAACTTCTTCGGTTTTACCGTTCAAGAATATTTAAATAAATATGTATTACAAAAAAACAACCAAACTATAAAACATCGAAAAATAGTGGGAAAATACTTTTTGTTGTTTGTTTCGGTACTGTGCGATTGTTTCGAATAGAACGCTGCTGTTGCTGTTGGGAAGCAGGCGTTTGAAAATATGATTTTAAATTACGAATGCATATGTTAACTAGTTCGTAGACACTGTCGAGTAACGACGAGGCGTTGGTGTATTTACGTTGAGATAGAAGAAACATAACTTCTACAAAGGCAGAGAATGGTAAACCTAGAGAAGAGCAAACCTTTGAAATAAATGAAGTAAGCAGACAAAGGAAACTTTACCTGACACAGGAACTCGTGACACGAATTGCTGCCATTTTCGTACTATCTGATAGTAGAGAATGTCAATCGATGATGCTGTGATTATTTCATCGATAATCCCACATGTACTATTTAAAGAATGAGATTGTTTTTGTATCTGAAAGATTTACTAGCATACTTTGCAAATGTTCGAAATTGCGCATTACTCATTGTTTTATCTCCATGAATAACCACGAAATGAATGTAGATATAAGCAATTTTATCGATTAGAACTAAATGTTGATACTTCGTTTTGTCTGATGATGGATAGATGAGTTGTAATCTTTTCGGTGAATTGAATCGAGGTGGTGATCTTGGACGACTTGCTGCAGATTTCATCATTGAATGTCTTGCAACGGTTGCTGATCTACCACGTTGTCCTTTAGAAGTGACTCTCGCATGGATGATTTGCTTATCTGCGGAGAGTAGCAATTCATGGGGTGATTCAATTGATATTGTGTCTTCGCATTCTTTTGACTTTCGAGTTGGCAATGGACGAGAAAAGTACGGATTTCGTTTGATATCAAATCGTGTATTTCGAGCACTTTTGAATCGTTCATTTCGTTCATCGATGCGACGTTGAGCAACTCTTTCCAAGCGTTGAATTAATAATTCATCTTTGACTTGAATTTGCGCATGACGAGTACTAAAAAGAGCAATGCTACAGAGAAAAAGGATTTAATTCATCACATACAATGTTTGCAATCTTTTCTTCGGTAAAGCCAGTTTCAATGTTTCTAATATTAACGGTCGTTTAATCTCTTCATCGATCGGACTTGCATGATAGATAATCTTCCCCATTTCGTTTTCTTTATCAAAATCAATTCGAAGCGATGGATTAGCATTGACTTCAAGTAGAACCGGCTTCAATTCATTTGTTAGAATTATGTCAAAACCAACGATCTATATACAATCGATAAAAAAATCAATCACTCAGGTGTATCATTGCATACTTGAAAACAGGAAAGACTTTGCTTCCGTGTCAATGGTATTTCAAGTTCATATTCTACTCGTAGATTAGGTAAAATGGCAAGAATAGTTTTATTGACCATTTCAGTAATTGATAATTTAACTTCTTCGATTCGAACATTTCCATAGCTACAAATTAATTGCGTCCAAACGGTGCTTAATTTGCGTTTACTTCCGTCTGTCTGTTGACTATCTACGACGTGTTTATAATTTGAACTACGCTTATTTAACGAATAGTTAGTTAAATGCATATAAGTTTGATGAAGATTGTCTGTTGATGGCGCATCATAGTGCACTGTCGCAAAACGAACGAGCCCTTCGTCGTAGAGGAAGATTTCTAATGGATAAAGATTTAGAATAAGAGCGTAGATTCGCAAATCAAATTTTAAGCCATTCATCAATAATGGCCGATCGATGTATTCTAAAAAGATTCGATGATCTCAGAGCAAACATTCAAAGAGACTAACCTTGGACCACATGCGGACGACTAGTAACAGTGCAATGTGCTGGATCTCGGAATAAATAGATACCTTCGCCTTGTGAACCATCTAAAAATGAATATATTAGATAGGCAGACGAGACAATACAAAGTGTTGCCTGATGGTTTAACGATGAACGTTGTTAATGATCGATGATGCATTTTATCTTGCTTGTGAATGTAACGGATATCGTCTTTAAATTGTTGGCTTTGCTCGGGAAGAAACCATGTTTTGGGATAGAAATCGTATTCGTCCGGAAATAATAATCTCATGTTATTCAACGAACGTGTGAGATGAACTTTACGCAACAAATCGCTCATACCAGGAAATTTATTCACTCGTCCTGAACTAGATGCAAAGTTAGCATTACCTTCATGAAAGGTTTGTGAGTGCCAGTAGATATCTGAATCCGATGCGGAAGGAAATGGGCACTAAAAGAATATTGCTATTAAAAGAAAACTCTTTGTTTGAATAGAGAAGATTCACCTCTTTCCAACGGAGCTCTCGAATGCACATCCTAACAACATCAAGATTCGATCTTGCTTTGCTTGTGTCTACCGTCACACAGTTCCTTGTAACAGGACGATCGTCAGTCTTCGATGGTGCAAGATCCGTTTTCGATGTCCGTTCAATTGTTTTCGTAGAGAATTGACTGGCGGCAGATTTAATCGGTCTAGGACGTTTTGGTGTTTTAATCCTCTTCATTGATTTCAAATCTTCTCTATTTACTTGACTTTCTTGATTAACAAATACCTTTTCTTGTTCAATATTCTCATCATCCAGTAGCGAATTCATACTTGTACACGGTACCATTGCCTCTGCATCATCTTGATTTATCATTTGAGGTATCGATTCAATCGAAGGCGCTTCCATCGCAATCAACCGGTTAAGACGATTAAACTATTTGACAACACACTTGTTTACATCAGTCGACAAAGAAGTAAAAGAAAGTAGTAGTAGTATTTTTTTTTCTTACGATTCTTTCAATCAGATTGATTGAATTCATAGGGTAGAGTCAACAAGCTTTATTATTGAAAACATTAAGTTTCATTAGAAACAGAACGTCAACCTTTTTGTCTCAAATCAGCATGCTCGACATATTTTAACAGTTTATTTCGGAGAAAACCGGAGGCGTCCATAACAACGATCGATTGCGTTCAATGCAAAGCACTTTTGTTCTACGCCTATTCTCGTCAAAACGAAAATCACATATTTTCGTTTAGAATTTTTTCATCTACTTCATAATTAAACATCCATCTTAACTTTCTAAACATTTAACAAAGCATAGCCATGCGTTTCTCTCGCATAATTTGCAACTAAAATGCAAAATTTCCTTTTTGTATAAATCAGCTGTTCCAAATGCATACTTAACTTAAGCAAATGCATTTGTGAGGATCAACCAATCGAATAGCGAATAATATCGTATGTGTGTATTGTGTATACATTCAGTCAGTCAGTTGAGTCTTGTCTTTCATCCATCGGTCATTCCGTTGTTCGTTTGGTTTTTTTTCTTTTCTTTCTTTGTAATAAGCATGTATTGAATAATAAAATTTATCATACATATTTCATCTTTTCTTCTTTTTAGATTAGTAAACTTGATTCATACATTTTTGTGTGACAATCTTTGTTCTCTTTCGTCGCATATCTATTAGAAATACATATTATCAACAAATATCTTACACGAATATACACACGCACATTTTTTTCTTGATTTGACACTCGGTTTTTCTCACGTAATACGATTTCAACGATCGTTTGTTTATAATCTTGATGTTTGTTCGATCTCTAGTATGTTCAATGTCTCGGAACAATAAGAATAACAAAAGCGTAGTTTCCTATCGAATGTCCAACGTTGTGTCCAATGGCTCATACACACATCAGTTCGAGCTCCTCAACTAGACGATCATTACGCTTATTAACGTATGTAGAAGAAAAAAAAACATTTTTTTCACAAATATACATATATATTATTATTTTTTCTTCTTCTTTTGTCACTTAGAGCCGAACGCAAATCAACCGCAACGATTGCACACAAGTCGAACGTTGACGGTAGTCGTCTTCTGCTCTGAAAATAATTTATATATACAAACTTTTTTTTCGCTTCTAGACGAAGACAACGCAGAGGCAAACGAAGAAGAAGGAGAAGAAGAAGAAGAAGAATCGCAACCAACATTACGTCAAGCTAAATTTAAAGCACTCGAAGCTATATCAATTAGTAATAGTAATAAACGTCGAAGTGAACTTGACATAGATACGAACGACGATCAGCAAGATATCGGCGTGGAATCTGAGGAACATTCTACTAATCGGAAACGAACACACTCGAAACAAGCATCTTCGTCCTCATCGCATCACAGTATTCGACATGTTTCGAATACTGTAGGTCGGCGGAAGCGAAATAAAAAATCAACATCGCGAAGTGAAAAATATTCTCCTAAAACATTGAAACGTCAACGACCATCGTCATCTGACGACGACGACGACGGCGACGGCGGCGATAACGTCGACATCGATCGTACGAACCGCTCATCGGTACAACCCAAAGCGAAAAGAAACTCAGCACCTATTTTGCAAAATCGTACACGTTCGAAATCCAACCTACGAAAGACAAGCGATTCTAATACTGACCTAGAACAACAAACTGAAGGTACAGACACGGGGAATCTTTGTGTACGACGAGGACCAGGTAAAAGCGAATGGCAAATTGAACAATCATGATGAATCAAATTTGATTCGTAGGTGGAAGGGAACTCCATAGCGTCGTAAGTGATCCATCGACTACAAGTAGCAATCGACGATCACGTGTAACCACTCATCATCGTCGATATTCCAATAAAACATCCCTTAGCTATTTAACGACGGGTCAATCGTCTTCCAGGTAGGCGCTGAAACTTCAAACCGAATGACAGTGTGTAGATATTTATACAACTTACCAGCGATGACAGCTAATCTTTGAATAACAAGGCCTTTTTCAGTCGACATTACCATAATACACTATTTGAAAACGAAGGAAGAAGAGAAACGAAGTCGTACACAGCTTCATTGACTTTGAATAACTTCCAAGTCATCTTTATCACCATGCTAAAGAAAAACATATAAACAATCAAATACTATTTATCAATAAATGTAATTAAGCATGACTATAGTTGAAGTGAAAAGGAAAAATAGTTTGTCATTGGATTCTATGAATAAATTCAACCTTGTATACGCAAA